TAAGCATGATCGTCATGTAGACTCTTATGGTATAAGATACATAAGTGATTGGATCTAGTGCAAGTGGGAGTTTGTAAGTGTTATGCCCTAGGTCCAATCAACTTTGGACATAAACACTTTAAATATATATATAATCGATACATATTTATGGCAATATCTATTATTTAATTGAATTAATATTCTAATAAATTAAATAATAGAATTCGTATATTCATGTTTTGGTGATTTGTTAATCACAAGGAGTTATGAGTATGAGATACAAATGACTGAATCGTAAATCGTCCGTGATCGAAGTAATAACGAGATACGGATATCGTTATTACGGATAGACAATCACGTGTGGCATTCTTACTTGTGAAATAAGTAACTGATCTCACAAGTTAAAGTGTAGTGACACTTGAATAAACACGTGAATATTTTGTCATAGAACAACATAGTGGAGACCCGCTGAGAGATTCCACATGGATAATTATCTAAGTGTCAGTAGTTAATCTCTAACGTTCGATAGTGAAATTAGTCCTTTAACTTGAGGTTATCATAGTGTCTTATATGAGGACAGTCATACTTTGGTGATGTTGGATGTTGCTCTTCCGAGGGTCGTTAATACAATATCGTTCGGGTATGTCAAGAATCATATGAAGGTTGTGAATGATCAATAGAGGATTCATCACTCTTAGTTAGTAAGAGATTGTGATCTACGTTTTATCCAATTAAGTTAATAATGAAATCATTAGCCAAGGTGAAATCATAAGTCGAAAAGTTGTTTTCGACTTACATTGACTTAACAGTAGGATAAAAGATATTATCGATCATTGAGATTGACACATAACCATATCTTATAATTGATCGGATCATATTGACGAAAGGAGTATAGTTTCACGGTAAATGAACAAGTTTGGTTTTGTTACACCACGTAACATTTCCCGTCACATGTATTGCCCGACATATTGTTAGATGTCAATTTGGGACAACGAATGTGAATTAAAGATAAATTAAAAGGGGGTGTTTTAATTTATCGATTTTGATAAGATCAAAATAATAATTCACGTCGTTTGGTATCGTGATTGAGAACCTAATGTGTCACACACAAAAGAGGACCAGAAGAATGAGATTTATCAATTGATTAATTGACAAGTGTTAGATAATTAATTAATTGGATAATTAATTAATTTTGTTGCTTATTAATCGGCCCGAATTAATTAATTGGGTTAATTAATTCATGGAGCAAATTTACTTAATTTGATTAATTAAATATTGGACATGTTTAAGTTTAAGGGATGGATCAACCCGCTTAAGTTTATATTAAGAGGAAATTACACAAAATTAAACTTTTAAAAATTGAATTTAAAAATCAGATTAAATGTTTAACTTTTCAAAAATCAGATATTTTATTTTAAATATTAAATATTAATTCTACATTTTTCATCTCAAACCCTAATTAATTTCATTTTAATTTTCCTCCTACTTCTCTCTCCCTCTTCTCACTCTCTCTGCCTTCTCTCATCTCCGTCACTCTCTCCTTTGCGGCTGGAATCCAGGGCGACGAGGACTCGTCGATTGGAATCTTTTCGAAAGAAGTCCAGCAGAGTGCCCTAGGGTCACCTACCGGTCTATGTCGGTGAGGAAATGGAACGATTTGTAGAGACACTCTTCCTTTTCTCTATTTTCTTTCTTTACTCTCTCTCTCTCTCTCTCTCTCCTCGTTTCTCTACCTTTGCTCTACTGGGAATGACACTCTTTTCCTCTTTCGGTTTTCATATCACCAACGAATTATCCTCATATTTCTACCTTCTCTCCACTAGTGGCACTTTCTCTCGCACTATTTTCACAAAGCCAGCGTTACTACTGACGCTGTTGTTTTGGCACTGCTGCAGTAGCGTTGGATTTGGGTTTGTAGATCGGTGGTTTTGTAAATCATCGTTGGATTGGGTTTGCAAATTAGTGGTTTTGCTACAGCAGCATTGGATTTGGGTTTGGTGGTGAAGGTGAGTAGATCAATGGAGTTTGTGGTTTTGGTATCGAATTTGGGTTTGGGTTTGGAGATGATTTTGGTGTCGAATTTGGCGATGAAGGAGATGGAATCGACACAGCCTTTACTGGTGGCGTTAACTTCAATTATGGTGGCAATTCTTCAATTTTGGCTTGTTGGGTTGTGTCTATGTTGGTTGCAGTGCATCTGTGTTATGTTGTTGAGCTGTGCTGTTGTTGGTGGTGGGGACAGTGGTCACAAGTGGTGGTAGTGGTAGTTTTGAAGTTGAAAATAGTAGATTGGTGGCGATAGTGGGGACGACGATACATGTACATTGATGGTGTTATGTCTATGTTGGTGTTGATGGTGGTGGTGGCTATGGGCCTGTTAAGGTGGTGGTGGATCGATGCAAGGATGTGTAGTTGTTTTCTACAATGTGTTGATTTGTTTGAGGTGGCTTTGCTGTCGGGAGGTAGTGGTAGTTCTGACGGCGACGCTGGCAGTTGTGCTGTTAGAGAGAGTGGTGAGGTGGTGGTCACAAGTTATTTAGTCGTTTGTGACCATTAAATTGATTATTCTGTGACCAATAAACAATATGTGACCAATGAAAAAGATAAATTGTGACAAAAAAATAATGTGACATAAAAAATTGTTAATTTATAACCGATAATTTGACAATTGTGACTTATTATATTTATAATTTGTGACTTATAAATAAATTGTGACAATTTTAATTTTTGATTCGTTACCGATGAACAAATTATAACCTATAAAATTTTTGAATTGTGATCGTAAAAAAATTTGTGACATAAAATTTGTGATTTGTGACCGTGAATAATATGTGACTTATAAAATTCTTAATTTGTGATCGATGAACAAATTGTGACCTATAAAATGTTGGAATTTTGACCATAAAATAATTTGTGACATATAAAATTTGTGATTTGTGACCAATTATATGAAATATGTGACCTTAATATATATAATTAATAAAATATATGTTTAATTAATTAATTTAAAAATATCTGAAATTTGAAATTTTAAACCTAAGTTCTTAAATTTGAAATTGGTAAAACTAAATCTCTTAGCAATGAAATCTTCCCTCATATTAATATGCTGCTAGGGTTTAAAAATTGTATGGAATAATTCATTATTCTTGCTAGCACAAGAAATACAAATCTAAATCTAATAAAAAATGATTTAAAAAAAAATCTAAATCTAAACATTGGCCAAGTATATTTCATGCAAAAGGGTAAGAAAATTTTTGAATTTTAACTTTTTAAAGAACTTAGTAAGTAATTTATTTAGCAAACTAGCTAAATATTTCTCCCATTATTACATAGTTTTAAGAAGAATCTCAATTTTAGTCAGTAATAAGAACTACAAGAGTGATAAAGGATTTCCTCCGTCAATATAAAAATAAGATTGTTTTAATTTTCACGTAGATTAAGAAAATGTATCAATATAGTTAGGATTGTACTAGATGTACACCCAATCCATTACCTAATGGATTACACCCCCCTCACATGGAGAGGGCCCAATTACCTAATAGATTACGCCCCCCTCAGAGGGGGGCCCATTACCTAATCCATTACACTCCCATGTGAGGGGGGTGTAATCCATTATGTAATGGATTGTGTACATTTAGATTAATTCATATAGTTTTAAATATAATTTGTGATATAAAATTTGTGATTTGTGATCATGTATAATGTGACTTATAAAATTTTTGATTTGTGACCGATGAACAAATTGTGATCTATAAAATTTTGGAATTATGACATATAAAATTTGTGATTTGTGACCAATTATAAGGAATTTGTGACTAAATTACATGGAATTGTGACCTTAATATATATTTAATTAATAAAATAATGTTTAATCAATTAATTTAAAAATAAAATTTTAAAATATCTGAAATTTTAAATTTTAAATTTAAGTTCTTAAATTTGAAATTGGTAAAACTAAACCTCTTAGTAATGAAATCTTTCTTTATATTAATAGGCTGTTAGGGTTTGAAAGCTGTATGGAATAATTCATTATTCTTGCTAACACAAGAAAAGTAAACCATAGTTGTAATTCTTGTTCTCTGAGTGGATCACCGTTGGACACTGGACAATGTGACAACTTGGATTGTAGATCGTGATAATTGGAGTTCAAGAATCAACAAAGGAGTTTGCAGAATTCATCAAATGTATTATTCTAAACACGATTTCTATTTAAACACAAAGCAAATCTGTGGTGAGAATTGAAAAATAATTTATTTTCCGCTGTACATGATGAAATAAATTCCCAACAGAAACTATATAAACAATTTTTATCCTTAAAAGAAAGTGTAGTCTACGTGCCAAACTAACTATTTTTTCGACAGAATCCATCCAGAACGATTAATTTTGCCAAGACTGCAAAGATTTGTCATGGGTAAGGGACATTATGTCACCCCTTGTGTAAGGAGTGATGTACCCGTAGCAAAATCGAAGTTTGAAAGGTTTGGGACCAAAGGTGCTAATTTTCCTAAACCAAACAATTCTAGGGCATCTTAGAAAGTCCCCAAGACCATGATTCCATCCTCCTTAAATTCCTCGCGTCCAAATCTTCTTTAACCTGTTGCACCCGATCTTACAGAGTGTCTCCTAGGGTTTAGATTTCCCCTTTCACTACGCAGAGAAACAAAACTTCACCCAAACATGGCGCCGTCAACCCAGTCCGTACAATGCTTCGGCCGGAAGAAAACTGCCGTCGCCGTGACCCACTGCAAGAGTGGCCGCGGATTAATCAAAGTCAATGGAGTCCCAATCGAGCTAGTCCAGCCGGAGATCCTCCGTTACAAGGCGTTCGAGCCTATTCTCCTCCTTGGTCGCCACCGCTTTGCCGGAGTCGACATGCGTATCCGCGTCAAGGGCGGTGGTCACACGTCCCAAATATACGCAATCCGTCAGTCCATTGCTAAGGCCCTAGTAGCGTTCTACCAGAAGTACGTTGATGAACAGTCCAAGAAGGAGATCAAGGATATTCTGGTAAGGTACGATAGGACCCTTCTGGTTGCTGATCCTAGGCGCTGTGAGCCGAAGAAGTTTGGTGGTCGTGGTGCTCGTGCTAGATTCCAGAAGTCTTACCGTTGAAACATCGGTAGCGTCACTGCTTTTTCTATTCATATTATTATCTTTATCTAATAATTATATTTCGCTCATTGGAGTTGTTTTTGGATATAATTAAGACATTTTCAGCTTATGATTCAGGTTTCTAATTTGGTTTATGTGTTATTGTGAATTGTGATTCTTTGGCCAAAATCTTTACCTCAAAACACATCTTCTACCTTCAAAGGGCAACTCATTTTCTAGAGAAGAATTTCAAGCATTATTGCTTGAAGTTAATAAGTTTTTGCCAAATTGATAAGTTATTGCACTTAATTGATAAGTTTTTGCCAAAACTTAATGGAGAAGTTCAAAAGTTTTCTTAACTTTTCTTTTTGAAGGGCTAGTTGAAGTGGGTTTGTTAGATTGTAAACACATTATCTTCCACTTCCATTTGGAGTAAGACAAGTCTGTTGATGTGACGTCAATGGTTTAGTTGTGGAACTTCATTGAGGATAATACTGATGTTCTTCTTCTTTGTTTGCCCTAAAAGTGAAGTCTTTTTGGTAATACATCCCTTTTCTCAATAATTAAATGTTGGTACATTATAGATCAACAAAGCTACCTCTGAACTAAGAACATTTCATAAGATGTTCTCTATTTTAAATGATCGATTCTTAAAATTATATTCTAAGAAACATTTTAAATTGACATTTTAAGTTAGAGAGTCAAACTCATTCTCTGTAATGAAGCCCCTGTTTGGGTTCCATTATATTATAATGTATTTTTCTCTATTCTTTTCGATCACACGTTCTTCTATAAAATAATATTACACGTAAATTCAAAAAAATCTTTCTTTTTTAACCGCTCATTGTTCAAAAAATCACTATTCCAAAATACATTTTCCCCACAATTTGATTCTAATGGATCCCAAACAAGGATTAAATGCATTTCAATTTTCAATGAAGAAAAAATAATATAATAATTTAGAGGGAAGCTAGTGAAAATAAAAGATGGAGTATCTTGGAGATGCTCTAACAATGCATATTATGGCTAGGGTGTGTTTGGGGATTGATTTTCCAAGCTTATGATGTCAAGGGTAAGTGTTGGTAATGAAGAATTTAGATTTTGGCAGATGTTTGAGCATGGCATGATTCAATTTTTCTCATTGCCACAATTTTGGGTCGTTTTTTGAATGGTTTTTGGTGTGCTTAGAGCTGGAAAGGAAGATAGGATTTACGAGCTCCCCCCTTCTTGCCCTTATATTTCTGCTTCTACGAGTGGGTACGAAATCTTGAGGGCTCGCTCACCCCACGTCCCCACCCTCCTTGGAATGTTAAATTTTTTGTTGCTGTTATTTGTGTCAGCGGAATGGGTCATTCTTCTACTGAATAAGCTCTGTATGCTGTCGGTGATATTTTCATTTGTGTGGACAACCCAGGCTCTTGTTTAAGGATCAGCATCCCTGCCTAGATTGCCTGCTGGATTTCTTCCTAAATTTGTTGCTGCAGAGCTTTTTTGTGTTAAGGAAGTTACAGATGTCTTTGCAGTTCAACTCGATTTCAAACAACATAAATCTTTGATTCTTTCTAATATAACAATATCCAGATTTCTTAGAAAAAAGGAGAATGGCTAATGAGTTTACCATTTTGCGTCACGCTGGTAGCATTGCAGGGAGAAGGAAAAACGAAGGAGTGAAGACTGTGAAGGGAAGGGTTTGGACTTTGGAACCGGGTTAATAACTAACACATAAAAAAAGAGGGAATTTTATTGATGAATCTTATCTCATTTTATTTGGGCCTAATTTTTTAAAAAAGGCCCAATTCTCTCAGCCCAAAAAAATGGGCCAAAACTAAAAAAAGGCCTACATGATGTCATCTTCTTCAGATCTTCCCGTCTTCTCTTACTTCTTCAAGTCAGCTCCCACCACAAAGACTCGTTATAATACAGGCAGCAACACTTGGTAGGGCTACAAACCAATTATTGGTATCCCAACAACAACAAATATAGAACCAAAGCAGCTGGCTACTTTACGTCAATCTGCACAATCCTTTGGGAACTTGAATATGCAACTTCACTCTCAGTTATGCCAAAGTAGTATGACCCTACGGTGTCAAGACTCCAGCGGATCCAGCACGGGCGGTCGCCCCCCCTCGTCGGGTGTTGGGTGGGGCTGTCGCCCTTGTTGGATTTGCCGGAGTCTTGACACCGTCGGGTCACACTACTTTGGCATGACTAGGAGTGGAGTTGCATATTCAGGTTCCCAATGGGTGGGGCGGTCGCCTGTGCTGGGTCCGCCCCTGGGTATGTGTAATCCCACAAAAATTTTCCTAATAACCCTAGATTGAACTTTTACGACATCTTTCCTGTATATAAACCTCATTAAGCTTGCAAGAACTCTACATCTCACAAGAAATTATTTTGCTAAAAGTTCATCTCTTCACAATGAAATTTCTCCTTTTAATTTGCTTCTTGTTCATATTTCCGTCCATAATTTTCAGCGGAATGAACCTAGAAACTCCTTCAAAAGTTGATGAAAACTTTAAGATAATAGACAAAATTAACGCAGAAAGGATGGTTGAGGAAGTGCGAGTATTGGCTGGTTCGAGAGCTCCTGATTGTGCCGGAAAGTGTGGAACATGCACGCCATGCCAGCCAATTCTTGTGAAGGTGCCGCCAGCAGGTGTTGGCTACTACCCAGAAGCTTGGACGTCCAAATGTGGTGGCCAGCTATACAAACTCTAGTGTTCTAAGAATAATGATAAGTTTTAGAGGAAATTAATTAAGCAGTTTTGGTTTATATATTACGAGGAATGTTCAAAATTTTCCTTACGAGATTTGAGTTTTTATTATAAAATGGTTGTTATTTCACTATTTTTATAACACATGCTCAAACAAAGAAATAGAGTAATGTTATGTGGTCTCACTGGAGTTATAAGCTCAATCTGGATGACGTTAACATGACATTAAATAATAGATGTAATTAAATAAATCATTTAATTATATATTTCATGTAATCTATCATCATTTAGAACCGTTTATACTGGAATTGTAATTCCAATGGGGTTAAATAGGCAATGAAGCAACGGAAACAGATGAAAGATGAAAAATACTTCACACTTTATGGAAAATAATGATAAAAAACAAAGTAAAAATCAACCTTGAGGGATTACTCAATTGATCAAATCTTGGGTTTGCTCTTCGATGGTCACCAGTTCCAGTCCACTCAGGGCCACTGAGGTGAGTACCTGGCCGTAAACTTTAGGACCCCATGGAATTAGTCGAGGTGCTCGCAAGTTGGCCCGAACATCCACGATTATAAATAATAATAATAATAAAGTAAAAATAAGCAAAAACCTAGAACTACATGGAAATCCAAATTTCAATTGTATCATAGAAGTCAGGGAATAAGTATTTCACAATTAACTATGAAATTAATTATGTTAACGTTTCATGTTTGTACCGTTTTGGTCATATAAAATCGTTTTTCAAATAGATGTGATGAAATATCAATGCGAAAAAATTACTGGAAATTTCCGTCACTAAATTTGTAAGAATTTTGGTTGCAATTTTACAATAAGCCGCTTAGATTGCGAGAGAGCATTTATTGCGATATTCCATTGCATATCCTTTTCCAAAATCTTAAATAATAATTTTGTGACATATAATGCATTGGTTTTTTGATCATAAACCCATCGCTAATTTTTCATGTTTATTGAAAAAAAAAATCATGCTAACACAGTTAAAAAAAACTTAAGTAAATAGCAATAATTAATTTTAATATTAAATTTTACGGGATAGACAACTTTTATCAATTTTTCAATCATATTTTTAATTAGATTTTATAAAAAATTACTAACATTTGTTCATTTTCTTGAGTTCTATGTTCTTTAATCTATCAATCACAGTTATAGGTACATGAATTTAAATAAAATGGTTGTCCTACATGTACAACATCACTTACATATTGATTTAAATACACGTGATGTGGTGAGATATGATTGGGTCAGAATTTTTTTAACTAAATAAAAAGTTTTGTGGAAAATTAATTTCACCAATTTGGTGGAAATTGATTTTACAGTTTTTTTTTTTTTTTGACAATTGAAAATTTTTTTAGACACAACGATAAAAAAATTATCACTTTTATTGACAATTTTCATGTAAAACAAAGCTAAACGAATGATATTTAGTATGATAAATTTTTTTGGCAATTGGAACAAATTTTAGACCCAATGGTAAAAAAAAATTATCACTTTAATGGACAATTTTCATAAAAAATAAAGCCAGATGGATATCAAATTTTCAATATTTTTCAGGTGAAAAATTATACAAATCAAACACAATTAATTACAATTCCTAGTAAAATAATTTCTAGGTAATTCAATTCCCTGTAAAACATTTTCTTTCCACCAATTTTTCACTTTTGCAATAAAACAGACCCATAATAAAAAAGGACAGAATTTATGTTATCAAATGTCAAAATTTCAACATGAATTTAATAAAAAGAAAAGTAAAAAAGCTCGCAGAGCATGGATCAAAATGAATTTGATTTCAAAACTCACAACAAGGATGCTCTTGTCATTTCACCCAACAAGGGAAATTGGGTCAAATAGCCACTTTCATAATACACTTTCAAATTTTAGCCTTTTATCATAGTTAAAGTTTTTAAAATAAATATTTTAAATCAAAATTAATAGATTACCTAAATTACTCATATTATATCATAGTGAATTCATTCTCGCTTTCCATAATTCAAAACCAACGATAAAACGGCATGCTGCCTTTTAAACGACCTAGTGTCGTTTTAACTAATTTCATATTCGTATCACTTTATATTCTCTTGTATCCACATGAAAATTAATTAAAATAAATTTTAACTATATTTGGAGTGAAATTGAGAATTCGTGACCCAAAACGGCATTTTGTCGTTACAAACGGTTCGATGACGTTTTAACTAATTTAGTGTTTGTTTCACTCTCGTACCCACATAAAAATGAGCGTAGAGTGACATTCGAGACCTCGTAGCCCAAAATGTCAAGCTGTCGTTT